GCCAGCCTCTCCCCTGGGCAGCCTCTTGGGTGCTCGCGTCGGGCATGAGACAGACTAGAAGGATGGGAGGCCGGGAGTGGGGGGCCTAGACCCCCCAAAGAAGAGGTGCAGTCCCCCTGCCCACCCTCCAGAGCCCCCTTCAGTGCCTCTGCTTTCATTTCCTGCAGGGTCCCCAGGGCGAGCCCGGCCCCCCCGGACAGCAGGGCAACCCAGGTGAGGGGGAGGGGGGGAGGAGGGGAGGTTCCCAGCCACCAGTTCCTGACCTTTCCGCCTGCTCTTCCCCTTCCCAGGGTCTGCCAGGCCCTCAGGGCGCCATCGGGCCCCCAGGAGAGAAGGTAGGTGGGCTGGGCTGGGCATAGGGCACCCTCGCCTGCCTGTGGGGTGCGGTCCAGGCCGGGGAGGGGCGCTGGGCATTGCCAGCTCAGGATGCGAGCCTTTGTCCTCCCCAGAATGGGGGAAGCTCAGAGCAACAGGCCCAGAGGTGTGGGTGCTTCTTGTTCACTGATTTATAAATTCACTCACTCACTCTCTCACTCTCTCATTCATTCATTCATTCATTCATTCATTCACTCTCTAGCCCTGTATAGGGGGACCAGATTTTGGAACAAGAGTAAATATGGGGCCGTTAAATTTGAACCTGGCCGGGCCTGCCCTCACCTGGGGTCCCGCCCTCACCTGGGCTCCTGCCCCCACCTGGGGTCCTGCCCCCACCTGGCCGGGCATTTGTTCCCATTGCAACACCCAAGGCCCTGGGGCAGCGAAGGCTGAGCCGGCCTCGCTGGTGCTCCGTGTGCCGACGGGCTGGGGATTGCCTCTGCGCGTCCGACAGAAATGGTGAAAAGTCCCCGTGGGGCGTGCAGGGCAGGTGGGCAGCTGGGAGCCGGGCGCCTGCTCACGGGGTCTGCTTTGTTCCAGGGCCCCCTGGGTAAGCCAGGCCTCCCAGGAATGCCCGGCGCCGACGGACCCCCAGTGAGTACCCTGCTCGCCGCTCCCCTTCTCGGCCCTGTCCCTGCCCAGGGAGGGCTGGGACCCAGGCTCCGGGCCGGCCGCATGCGTGGCTGTCACTCACGGTCCCACCTGCTTTGGTGAAGACCCACGGGATACCTCGAGCCGGATCGCTCCGGAGGACTGGGCTTGGGACACATTCATTCATTCATTCACTCTCTAGCCCTGTATAGGGGACCAGATTTGGGAACAAGAGTAAATATGGGGCTGTTAAATGTGAACCTGGCCGGGCCTGCCCCCACCTGGGGTCCCGCCCTCACCTGGGGTCCCACCCTCACCTGGGCTCCTGCCCCCACCTGGGCTCCTGCCCCCACCTGGCCGGGCATTTGTTCCCATTGCAACACCGAAGGCCCTGGGGCAGCGAAGGCTGAGCCGGCCTCGCTGGTGCTCTGTGTGCCGACAGGCTGGGGATTGCCTCTGCGCGTCCTTCAGCAAATGGTCTTTGACAGAAATGGTGAAGAGTCCCCGTGGGGCGTGCAGGGCAGGTGGGCAGCTGGGAGCCGGGCGCCTGCTCACGGGGTCTGCTTTGTTCCAGGGCCCCCTGGGTAAGCCAGGCCTCCCAGGAATGCCCGGCGCCGACGGACCCCCAGTGAGTACCCTGCTCGCCGCTCCCCTTCTCGGCCCTGTCCCTGCCCAGGGAGGGCTGGGACCCAGGCTCCGGGCCGGCCACGTGCGTGGCTGTCACTCACTTGCTTTGGCAAAGACCCACGGGATACCTCCAGCCGGATCGCTCCGGAGGACTGGGCTTGGGACACGCTTTCCGGAACGTGTTTCCACGGGGGGTGGTGACTGCAGGAGTGGAAACGTGGTTACTATCGGGGGCGAGTGGGCTGTCGGGACCCAGCCTCGCAGCCTTCCCCCCGGAGGCTGGGCTGGTGCAGGCGGGGCCTGTGTCCCCGGAGCTGGAAAGGAGGGAGGCGTGCGCGAGTGTATTTTTAGGGCTCACGCACCGAGCAGGGTGGTGGGCGGGAGCGTGGCAATGTGTGAGCACACAGCTGTGGAGCCAAACCGGTGCTGCCTAGAAATAGCGAGTCGTTGACAGATCAGGCTGTGGGGGCGGCGGGAGGGGGGGGGTGAGGCATGAGGC